TGATTGTGATTTTTCTCCATTTAGTCAAACTTTTTTTTTTTTTGTACGTGAAGAAATCCTCATGGACACTCCGCTGTTCTAATAATCGCGTAACAACAGAGTGGTGTCGGACTCCTACCGACTAAAACTCCACGATGACCACCCTACGCGTATGACAGGAGTACTCCATTTAGGAACCTCTCCATTTAGTCAAACTGCTAGAATACGAAGTAGCCTATTGGTCGATCGTACTCAAGTATGACACTTCCTATCTCTTATCTTATTCGACGGTTTTATTTATTCCACTGCAATAAACTTATCAGTAGGTAGAGATTAATAGGCGTTACGAGTACTTAATCAGAGTAACACCGATAACGAGAACACCGATAATTCCCTTTCGTAGATTTCTCTGATGTTTGCACCGATGGCGAAGGCTCGTCGGGAAGGAACTGCCCTCTTTCTCGCTTTCCCGCGCCCCGTAGCTAATCATGTAACTCGATTGAATAGAACGAGCGAGAGCGGGCCAATAAGAAGCTCCCTTTAATCGGGTTACTTCGTTACTACGTTACTCCGTCACTCGGTGCGGTGATATCAGCGGAATATCAATTGTTGTGATTAACCAAGACGTCCGTCGCGGCCTGAAACTTCGCCTGAGACCTGTTCGATGAAAGAGGGACGAAGAGAGCACGGGAATAACATCTTTTGTCAGTCGCAAATTAGTTCGCTGGAATATTCAAATCTCGGAGTCCGCTCGAGCGAAGCTCTTTGAAGCATTTCAATCGCTTCTTCTCGCACCGAAAACATCCAACAGACTATTTTCCTTGAAGATTCTCGCGAACATTTCGACGAACGATCATTCGTATTTAGAGATTCCAATCGTAGTTACCGCGTAGTTTTCACGGATACGATTAACGGTTTACGACGTCACGGGGAAATTTCACGAGCGATCGGAACTCGACAAATTCGCCGCCAATTAATCGAATCGCTGACGACAGGAGCAAAGACGGACAATGAATTAGACACGGCGTCGTGATCCGGTAAAATCAGGCCCGAGGCCACATTATAATAATACGAGAAACGGCCAGGGAGCCACGAGGGTGGCGAAAGAGTACGTATCGAGGCGGACACTCGACACAGCTGTCCAGGAAACGTACTCTCTCTCCTATTGTGTCGGCTAGTACGCGGCCTAACCAACCGTAAACACCGAAAATCTAATTGACGAAATTCAATTCCGCGCCGAAATTCAATGCCGGCCGCGACAGATTATCGCGTCTCTCCGACTGTATACTTTTCCAAAAACTACATCGGAATCGAGCGTACCAATCCGCCATTGATTCGTCACGGGCCGAGGATTCGACGAATCGCCTGAATCGCGTTAAAAGCATTGCTTCTGTGCGAAGCACACGCGACCAAGCGTTAAGCCGATAATAAGCACGATAGACGCGTCACAATCTCTATATTTCCTAAAAACTTTTTAATATCGCGTGGAAAATGTCGAAACCATTGTGTCGTATTACCGTTACTAAAGGGTTAACGCTGGTTTTAAATTTACAAGAAACGGTACGATCAAGCTTTCGATGGTAATACAACACGCGTTTCAATAGGCGTAACTTCCCATTGCGTTTCTACGATCGTGATCGTCGATAAATCCTACTAATCTCTGCACACGAATCCTGAGAAAGATCGTCGCGCCTTCGTGTTTTCGAATTTCCATCAAAATGCTCGAATCGCCTTTTCCCCCCTAGCAGCATTCGAAGAGGAGGGGATGTCGTATTAGGCGAGCTGAATTATCGCAGAATCAAAATAATTCGATAGATGGGGTGCCGTGTATTACAAGAGGGGTGACCATTTCTGCACGTTGGGGTGCCAAAACATCCGCCGTAACTCGGTAAAGTATTGTCGAAAAATTCCTCGTTAAAATATTTTCTTCGCTACAATCTCTATCGAGGTCGCTGTAATCGTTCGGTATTCGCACGTCGTCTGAAACGTATCACAATTTTCTTGTTAGGTGGACGATTATCGACAAAAATGATCGTCGAAATCTGTACGAAAGAAAATCTTTCATAAAGCGACAGACAGAGATGGAGAAACGCCAATACTTTAGCGGTCCGTCAAGATCGTATTTATTCATTTGAGCTAATTTTTTGGGCGTGGAATCGGCTATTAGATTGTCGTGTTGTGCTTTAGGGCATATTGACGCCGTGGCTTGGAAAAAAGTAATCGAGACAGCTGCCAGAACGTCTACGATAGACCGTACACGGTACACCACCCTCTTCTATACGTAACTTTTGCTCGGTATCGTTCGGGACCGATTTGCAAGAACTTGGCGATTCGCTAGGAAACGTTTTACAAATGAGAGAAGCAGACACGAGGAAGAGCGTATTTAAAATGCAGAAAGGCAAACGGTGGCGTGTCAAGAACCGTCAGGTGGTCGGTTTAAATGACACAATGGCTCAATTCGGGGCGAAAATCCGTCGACTAAATCTCCCATTCAAATGCGATCTCAATCCCCTGCGTCAAATGGGACCTAAGTAGCTACTTAGTTGCACATTTGGCTTAAAATTTTCGATAACCCCTCCCCTCCCCTCTCTGCATCCCATCCAGCGATACATACGATCGTACGAGCGTGTTAGATTCGCGATGCTATCTCTCAGCGCATTTGCGATACGAACGCATCACCGGTACCTGGACGCGTCACGGTAATCTATTTGAAATTCAGTCACCCTTATGGTCGCTATTATGTTACGTGCTCTCGCGGAGATCCCAACCATCGACACGCGCGTTTTCCTTTCAAACGGAATGGCAAAATTGCGATTGTTTTATCAAATAGAAGAGAGCGATCTTGACGCGCGATAAGTGTAGTCTTGTTGATATTTTGATCTTAATAATATCACGTTGTGACTAAAAAGAAATATTCTAATACGAAATAGTTAAAAATTGAAAAGGAACTGTTATTAGATGTATAAGGGTACAGTTGATGAAGTTTCGTGGTAAATTGTTGTACCAAGAAATGATTTAACTATTAAGAGGAACGGTATCGTCGTCGATATTACGATATTACCGTAAACATCTTAAAAATATTCTGTATTTCGTTCGATGGGATTGAGCTTTGATATAAAAGTTCGAGTTAGAGACAACTGGATAACGTGGCTAATTCAATAGCGTTCAATTAGACCTGCAAAGTGTTTTCTATAAATTCACGGTTAACGAGATTCCAATTCCGTGGTATATAATTACGAACGATCGGGCCGCAAGGGTCCCTCGGTTAGCCGATGCCACCACGGACGAGAATAATTAGTTTTAATTGCCCCAACGAAACTTATCCCTCCCCGTTGACGCATTAAGACCAAAGTTAGACGGGCCACAGGAGGTTTAGGTTTTGCGAAGCGTGAGCAGGTAAGGTATACACGTACTACGTGACACGGTTGGTAAACCCAAAGCTGGCTTTGTTAAGCTCGGATTCTGAGTGCCTTTGATACGTGTACTTGCACGCTAACTAACCAACCTAAGCTATCCACAGCGAACTCGCGTACGTACGCCAGATGTGCGTGTGTTATACGCTTTTCTATATCGCTTCAAACAGGGACGTCTAGTTCCTGGCTCGCATTTAACAATTTGAAATTTTCTAATAACTTTAGTATTTCGTCGAAATTTAGCATAGATCTCGATCTGTAAATTTCTCTTTTAGAATTGCCGATCGAGAAAACGAACTTCGATTCTGGTTAGTTTTGTTCCAAACGATACGCTATAAATACATTTCGATCGTTGAAAATACGATTTCGCGATGAATATACGATTGGTTCTAATTATCCGAGAATGAAGTGACAAAGAAAAAAAGAGATAAAATTGATTGAAGCGTTAAAAGTACGGTGTACTCGTAGGAGCCCAATGATTCGACGTCCCTGTCTTTTACCTACGTTACCCTCGGCATCGTCTATACGAGTATGACCTACACGTGCGCGATACATTTTCAACTGGGAATTGAATTTCCTTGGTAATTTTAATGCCATTGTGGCTGAAGGGGTGGAGAGAGGCACCGAGACAGAGGGTAAGGTAACAAACACAACCACAGAGTGTGCATCCCCTAACCACCTCGTAGACGTAAAATTTAGTTGGAGACGAATACGATATCCTTACCATTCCCGCGTGGTTCTCCGCTCGGAATGATTCGAGCGCATGAAATTTAGACATTCCTTTGCTATTCATAGTGTGCCATAAACGAATGAAAGATACGCATAATTCCTTTAATGCATTGCTTCTCTTATATGTACTTGTGCACAAACAATTTATGTGGAAATATACGAACGTAACCGTTAAAATGTAATAACAAATATAATATCTTTAAGGGAGTTTCGAACGAGAAAATAGCGTCCAGGAACTTTATTTTGTCGCGTAAAACAAAAGTGGTGCATTTAATGCTACTTTATTTCCGGTACTTCATTGGAATACGGAAAGTCGCGAGATACAAAGCCAAAGCGCTATAACCACTTAAGGAGGCTTTGACCAAAGTTGCAACAGAATCTGCGTTGTGGAGTAAAGCGGATTTCCCCACCTCAAAGTGCCCCCTGTTATATCTTTATAAATGGAACCACTCCTAGGGTATATGGAAAAGCGACAACCTTTATCACTTACAGGATTTACAATATTATATTTCTGTCGAGAATCGTCAATCATTTTTTTAAAACTTCTTGGCACTGTTGTTTTCGCTTCGCTTCGATAATTTCAGTCAATAAGGAATTTCCATGTTGCGTAAAAATTTCAACATACCTGTTTCAAACATTCAGATTGATATTTCTCATTCAATTGAAAACACATTAGTATGATACAAACAAATGTCTATGATTATTTTGTAAATTAAAAAATCTACTGCTGTATTTTCAAAACTGAATTTAAGTCTTCTTATCATGCTATAATATACGGATATCATTTTCATTTGCAGTTGATAAAACAGAAATCTGTTATATCTTATTTGTGATTTTATTTCTATTATTCCTTCTTCTTAGTTCCTACACTCACCACTCCAAAGCGTACATTTCATTCAGCGTATTTCAGCGACAAAAATGATTTTTTAACGATCGGTATTTCAGTTCAGAACGTAACACAAAATTCCATTAAATGCGAGATCTATTTTATACACTGTCTATGGTCTCGTCGAAGTCGTAAACGATGTTTACTGGTTGTCATTATTTTCGTCTGTAAATTTTTAATAATTTAAAATATGTTAGAAAAAACATCTGGTATAGATAACAACCAGTTATCCAAAGAAGATTATTTAATTATGCGTGCGAAAGATGCATTACCAATTGACATTTATGCAGCTAAGTCCTGGTTAATTACTGCTAGATCGTTGTTTCCTCACAGTGCTAAAGTTCAGGTTAATATTCTTAATGTTTATTGACATCTATACAAAAAGTATTCAATTCGTTTTAATTTATATAGTGTGTCGTGCGTTATAGCTTATTATGTGTCATGCATTCAAATGACATTTTACAAATTATGTCATGGAATTAAATTATTGATATCTTTTTAACATCTACTATATAATAAGCAAATAACTTTTCAATAATAAATTGTGCTGTGTGTTCAATAGTTCGAAGCCTATCGGATCGAAAAGCTTTCAAAAAATGTGAAGGAAGCAGCAAAATGTTTTAGTGAAATGCAAGTCTATGAAATAAATTACATTATGTTATAAGAACCATTTGCACGTAAACAATTGTTTAAATGAAAAAACAGATTTCAGAATTTTCCGGACGATCGCGATATATGGAAGGAAATAGAAGCAGTAACAGCTTGTCTTCGTTTGGAACAATGCGATGCCGAAGCAGAATTTTTATGCCAAATGTTCCAACATATACCGCAAGAACTTCAGCATAAATTGCTTGTCATGACTGCTGATCATAGCGAAGATACAATGGAGCACTGTAAATTATTACTTCTTTTACTGCGTAGATTTCCTCAAACAATTGCCACTCATGGAGTAAGTATCTTTAGTTAACATGTTTCTAATATTTGTATCTGCCGGTTTAGTTCTTAATCTGTTACATTTTTAGCCACGTTTAGTAGAAACTCTTCTTACCGCGGAGAAACACAGTCATCCAGGATGTGCGGTAAACGGATACAGAAAATTATTAACCTGTGACGCACTACCTCTCCTTGGTACTGCGCCGGTAGTATTAAATCCGAGGCTTAGCTTGAGATTACTTTGTAAAGCAATAGAATTTTATTTGACATACATACAGCAGCCGCAAGATAATCAGATTCAACAGCCCTGGGATAGACTGTTTCAAGTTGTAGAATTAATAGGGAAAAAATTAGGCTGGGAATTAAGTAGTTTATTTTCTATGACTTGGAACAGAGAAGCATATTGCGAAGGATTGCACCAATATGCTGTTACACATTCTGCTAATTTATGCGAGGAAATGGTGGCTAGACAGCTATTAATGTGTACTGTTGCAGTATTATTAAGAATATTAAATGAACATACTGCACTGATTAATAATGATGAAACCATGTATTGTTTGGTAGAAGCATTCGCAGAATGCGTACATTCACCCACAGGTGAAGTGTAACATGTAATAATCTGTAACTTTACTTTAATCTATAATTTCATTATTTTTGTTATAATTAGAACCCAAATTGAAGAAACGGAAAAGGGAAGATAATGGAGGAATCGTAATAACTAGCGATGGTGATTACAGCGGTAATGGATTGGCATTAAATGTGAAGTTATGGGACTTGTTACATAGTAGTGATTATTTACAAAGAGAAATCGGGAAACTAAGTCAACAACTCCGATTAGACTCGTGGCTAAATTCTTTTTTAACAGATTTAGCTATGTATAAGGGTTTACACCATGAAGTGTTACCAAGATTATCTCAAGAACCAGCTAGTTTATCTGTTCACCTTCGTTTAGCAAGTACATGTTTCTTCTTGAAAGATTATAAGGTACGCAATGTATTTTCATATTTTTATACTTTACTTGTACTTAAAAATATGCCTAAATACATCATATTTCTTTTTCTAGGCAATGTTAGAGTATATAGTTTTAGTAGTTACTGCATTACCTTCGGTTTGCAGTAAGGTATCTCACAATTTAACTGTTCCATGTGGAAGACACTTACATTATTTGACGCTTGCACGTTTTCCTGTTATACAGTATTGTTGCAGATTATTGCTTCTAGCAATAAAGGTAATTATAATGTTATGATTAAAAACGTTTTTCATTCTGTTATTATATTTACAATACGTACTGTACGATAGGAAAATTTCTCTATACCTGGTGCTGTTGGGGATTTAGCTATAGGACATGCATTAGTTCTAATGCAAATTGATTGGCCGCAGGAAGCTAGTGCTTTATCCACAATTACGGAAAGGATTATTAATCGTGGAACTTTTTCTTACCCATTATTTCAGGCTTATATTATATGTGTAGATATTTTAGAAGAGTTAACATATCTATGGACAGAACATGGAGGTGGTGTATCTTTAGATATAGCTACTGGATCAGGGATTCTACAAAGTAAGTTATTTTATAAATTACACCATACATATCTTTATTTTTATCTATAATATGACTATATAAAAATATTTTATAGATCGACGTATTACTACTCGTGGAGCAGATAAAGGAGTCCGCGAAGAAGTAAAACAAGCAATGCGCCGACAAGCAGCTCGAGATGGCATCGATCCGTTAGATGAATTGTTACAAAAGTTTATTATCAATGAAAAAACAGCCATATTACACAGTTTAATTATTCAATAAATCAATTTAACCTTACTTTCATTAATTAATTTAATACATAATTTTAATGAAATCGTTATATAATTTTTTATTTTGAGATATACACACGATTTTCTTAAGCCAACTTTAATATTTTATGTACATATTATATTATGTTAAGAGAAACAAAATTTTACTAACAATATCTGAATATTTGTTCTAGTTTTTACATGCGTCTTAGGTAATGAGTACTTTCAATTGTACCGGAATAATGATACCTTATCTAATCCCAACAAGCCACCTTTAAATGTAAATATATAAACATTATGATTTTGTTGATACAATTGAGTCATAAAGTTTATATACAAATACTTGTGACTATCCGTACTATACTGAATAATATGGAAAATTAATAAAACGTAAATATCTTATTAATTAGGCAGCTAAATTAATAAGGCTGTTAAGGATTATACAAATTACAAATTATAAAAATGAATAGGCGTAAATATTCCAGGTTTTATATATTGCATTCTATCTAATATAGACATTCAATTGAAGAGCGATTAGGAATAATACTTTAATACCCGGCATGAAAGAAGCTATCTGGCTAAAATCTGGACCTGAAACTAATTGTGTATGAAGATCTAAACCCCCAGTATAGTTTCCACTTTGTATCATCTGTGATATTTGATGTAATCCTTGTAAAGAATTCTGTGACAGCTATAATAAGACGTACACAATAAATATATTTTTCCTTTTTTTTTAAATCGATAGTAGCAAAGTGCAAAGAGATATGCATACCTTATTCTCTCTAAGGCAATCGTATAAAACTTCGAGTTTTCTAGATACATCTGCTATTTTGCGTTTAATTTGCTGAAAAAAAATGAAAAATATTGGTAGTTTTGACTGTAATATAATAAAATATATTATTCTTATAAATACGAAGAATCATCTTACTGGATTCTTGGCGTTTTCAAAGCACTGATTTTTTAATTCATCGAATACTGTTTTTAAGTGCATATGCTGTTCTGGAATCGGTGCTTTTGGCTTTTCCGGTTCCGGTGTTCTGGCAATTGCGACCGGTGGTGTAGGTTCCATTGGTTTGGCATATTGAGCAGCCATATTTGGAATATTCTGATTGATATTGGATTGATTTAGAATATTCTGATGATATTGTTGCGGGTTGTAAGATGCTTGCGTATCCGGATAAAATTTGTCGTGTTGCAATACCTAGAATAGAAAAAAGAGGTAGAAAATAATGATATTTTATTAGTTAACAGAAACTTTTATTATGATCCTTACATTTGGTTCAGGTTGCGGTTGGGTTCCTCTTAATGGATGTAAAATCGGGTTTTGTGGCTGATAATCTTGTTTTGACTGCAGAAAATGTAATATTATGATATATTTAGAAAGAAATACCTTCATATACTAACTGCAATAAAAAAATGGTACGCATGTATCGTAAAATGTAATATCCCACGACTACAATGTTTGTATAAAGCAGTTGGAAACGTCCTTGTATTTCACACTGTCACATTAGTTAATGTAGAGTCACAGGAAATTGTTATTCGCAATTTACTAAATCGAATTTAAGAGATACTTAAGGGGAATAAACATATTTTGCTTAAAAAGAAATAGCAATGATGAAACAGTATAAACAACACTCAATCTTTTTTAGGTGTCTACCTTAATATTCATATTCTTCGAATATATTGCTTTCCACTTCCTGGTACCAGCATGATCCGCAGACATTTCTTTTTTGTTGCATAATGCTAGTACTGGCTATATTATTTAAATGTATGTATACATATATATATATATATATATATAATAAGGATAATGTTATACATAATAACTAATTACTCACTATTTTTCTGGCGCACTTGCATGAAAAAGATACAAAGCTATTTACCTGTATCCTAGAGGGCTTTGCAGCAGGTGGATCATTCCATCCAGCAGGCTGTACCGGTGCTTGATAGATGTTTGAGCGATCCATTGGTGGCTGATTTTCGCTTCCATACATTTGAGTCTGCTGAATTGGTTGCATTCTAATTGGTTCATACATTTGACTTTGAGGTGGATTTTGCAGTGGCGACAATACATTAAGTTGAACTGGCTTAAAAGTTCCTGTTTCTTTAACATTTGATACGAGACTTTGTCCGGAGTACGTGTTCGTCGGCATAGGAACTTCTGGTTGATACATATTTGATGAAGAATAGCCTGATACTGGAGGAATTTGTTGATACGACGATGTTTGTTGAGGAAAACCAGTTTGTCCGTATGTTGAAGTAGATTTAACAGACGGATCTATTATATATTTTGATCTCGCTGGAGGTCCGGCGCTAGGTGGTCGAGATCCGATTCCGCTTGATGCACTTGAAGGAGGTGGTGGTGGAAGTGATTGAGAAACGGATGTTGAAGTGTAAGAATGAGATATTTGATCATATGGCATAGATGGTATAGGTGGCATAGGTTGCATAGATGGTATAGGTGGCATAGGTTGCATAGATGGTACAGGTTGCATTGATTGTACATGTGGTTGAAGCGGAGATATTCCAAACATTTGTTGTTGCTGTTGAGTACTGAATTGATTTGGGGGAGGTGCGAAAGATTGTTTCGTTGGAGCAGCAATGTTTGAATCGAAAAAGAGTCTTGTTGATCCAGTAGACAGTGGATTTTGTACACCTTGTATGCCAGTTACAGATCTTCTGGTTCGATCGTAATAAGCTTGCATTGCTGGTGCTTTTGGCACGACTTTCGATTCTTCAATATAACCTAAAGCTCGCATCAAGCGATCTTTTAACATTACGACCTTTTCATCTTGACTATTTCCCAAATAATTTAGTGCAGAATCGAGATCTCCTTCGGCCGCTAACATGTCAGCATAACGAGACAAAACGTTGGCAATTTTTCCTTCTATTGGTACGTCCCTAATATTTTGCGTTTCTAATGCTTTCTGCATTATAACTACTAGTTCTACTATTTCCTGAATTTCAACATTGGAAGATTCAACCATTTTATTCAAATTACCAGAACAAATATAACAAATTTGAGCTTGTTCTTTAAGTGTTACATCATCAGATGATGCTAAACGATCTCCAAGCATGTCTATGAAATCAAAGGGACAGAATTGAGTATTATATATCTTAAGTTGTCACAACGCCTGCATTATAATACGATACATACCGCACAAAGCAGATCGTTCTTGTGGATTGGAATGAATAAATATTCCAATCAACACTTCTTTCCAACAATTTATATCAGCATTGTTAACAACATCAGCCCAATTTTCACTAACTAATGAATTGATAAGAGAATTGAGAGCTCCAGAATGTTCTGAAAAGTATCTGTACTGGGTACGTGCTAACAAATCAGGTCCAGCAGCCATTGAAAGAATGACTGCATCTGCGTACCTTTTATTTGCAAAGCACAACGACACAGCAGCTTCTATATTTCCTAAGAGGATTGCTTGAGTTATAAGCCCATCCTCATCTGTAAAATTACATCATCTAATGTAATGAAAATTTAGGAGACGAAGTTCCTTATATGTAACTATAAAATTACCATCTGACACATTTATTTGAATGTTTTTATTTTTTGCAGCAGTTAATAATGTTTTCTTAGATTCTTGTGCAATAGCATCGAACACCATGCTTCCATCAATAACGTTTCCATTAAGTACCTAAATGAAGAATAGTATCTGTTATGTAATAATACTGTGAAAATTCTTCAAGTAATATAAAATTAAACTTACATTATTCAAGTTACCAACTCCTTCTGTAATACTATTAACATCTTCTTGTGAAACGAATTGATTTAATTTATTATTCATTGTTTCTATGTTATAACCAAGTAAATTCAATATATTCTTTGTCACATTTTCACTAAAATATGCTCCCACACAATTCCATATCTTTTTTCTATATATATCAGTAGTGTTATCAACTTTCCCTTTGCAATAATCACTATATTGCTCAGTTTTAAGAACTTCCTCCAACTCATTTGAACGTTGAATTAATTCTGGTTGTGTAACCACTTGTGATATTATCACTCTTTTATTTGAATTTGGAGGTAAATTAGGATCTACAGGTCCATTTTCAAATATTATCAATTTACCACCAAACTAAAAAAAAGTTCATGATTCTTATAATAGAAATTTAAAACTATGATATATAAAAATCGATAAATATTACATATTTTAAAAACAGATGCTTACACCAAAGGATGCTCCAAATGGTCTTTTTAACCATTTTGGAGCCTTTGTCAAGGTGACTGCTGGTTCTGTCTGTACAGGAGGTGGTGCATGCGTGAAAGGATCCATTCCAGGGAAGGAATCTACAATTTTGTTAGATGTTTCTGCTGACATTTGTTGTTGTCCTCCCAATAAAGAGTAAACTGCAGCATGCCCATCAAAGCTAGATCCCACAACTAACCCAGGATGTCTTGGACACCATGAGACATCAAAAATCCACTGATTTGTTTGTGCTAATTCACAAATTACTTCACCATTCTGTACGATAAAGAAATATACATATATAAATAAGAAATAAATTATATACATGTATTCGTAAACATACTCCTGTTAGACTTACTGGTGCATCTGAGTTAGGATTCCAACACAATATCCTATTATCTTTGGCACAACTTAAGAGTAAATCGGAATCATGTGGATTCCATGCAATTGATAGGACACCACGTTGGTGATTTTGGAATGTTTTCAAGGGTGATGTTGCAAATCTCAAATCCCATAATTCAATTATAGGAGCCTGATCATCTTCTGATGCCAAGCACAACTGTGTTGCAACATCTGGATGCCACTGAACTACTTTCCATCTTACCTGTATGTATATATAAATGTACAAATGATGATATTACGAGTATTACAAAATATAGCGTAAGTAAAATTACCTTTGTATTTGTATCTGTTAAGTTGATAATTGGCTCATTTTTTCTCAAATCCCATATAGTACATCGTTGCGAAAACGTGGAAGCAAGGATATGTTGCACTGTAAGAAAAAGTAAAAATTAAAGATATAAATACATTAGCAGATTAAACA